CCCCCCCCTCATCCGACGCTTCCAACAAACCGCCTCATTCCTCGCCTAACCATGTCACCCCTCTTCCCCCCCCGCACTCCCATACTATCTCACAATCCATCATGACGACCTCCACCATCCCCACCCCCCGTCCCACCTATCCCCAAGTCACCTTCGGGGTTTACCCCGCAATGCCACAACTTCCCCCCAACTACCTCCTTGACGACAACAACCAATTCGATTACACCTGCTACGACACTACCCCCGGTAATCTCAACTTCAACACCTTCGCCCGGATCATTTCCCGCGAAGGGGAAGTCCCCCGTTCCTTTCGATCCGCCGACATCATGCCCTTCTCTGGACTTCCCCACGAGGACGTTTTCCTCTTCCTTACCCAGCTCCATAACTCTTTCAAGCTCCACCACATGCCCCTTGTCCACTGGCTTCCCATTGCCACCTCCGGCCTCTTCGGCAATGCCGCCAAATGGTGGATGGCCGAAGTCAGCAACCGCCGCGCCTCCGGAGGACCGCATCACTCCTTCCTCCAATGGGCCAACCTTCTCACTGCCACCTTCCACCCCCAGAAAACCATCGATGACTACCTCGAACAATTTTGTCACCTCCGCCAGACCGGTCTCACGGACCGCTTCGTCCAATACATCCGCTCCCTCCGCCATCACCTCCCCACCACCGTCATTCCCGACTTTGCGTTCATCTCCCGCATCAAGCGAGTATGCCACAAAGATCTTGCAACCGCCCTCGCCCACGAACCCGACATGCCCCTTGCTGACCTCCTCTCTCGCATGCGTCACCACGATCGACTCCTCCACCCCCATCACCACTTCGCGCCCGCTCCCTCCCGCCCCCGCTTCTTCCATAACATCACCCTGACGACACCACTCCACCCACCTCCGATGACGACTTCAACACTGCCTCTCTCGACCCCTCCCAATTCACCATTGAGGACCTCCACGCCGCCCACCTTATGCGGATGGAACACCAGGATCGTGCCTCCCGACCGCCTTCTTCCTTTCCACCCCGTCATCTCCAGAAACTTACACCCGCAGAACGCATATACCTCCAGGAACACAACGGGTGTTTTCGCTGCCGCCAGTTAGGTCACCAACAGACCAACTGCCCCAACGCTAGCCGCTTTACTCAACAGACCCCTCACTCCGCATGACCCGGCCCTTCTACTTCCACTTCTCCCTCTACCGCGACATCCGGGCCCTTCTCCACCTGAACACTGTCCCCCTGACTCTTGCAACCCTCCCCTGATATCGACCACTTGTCTGTCGGCTCTCCCATCGGTGACGATCTCTACTCCACCGGTGGCCCACTTAGCATCGACTATTCGTCTGCCTACCCCCTCCCCGATGATGCACATCCCATTGGACGACCCCCAGGCGACGCAGTCTACTCCGCCTGCCCCCCTCCCGACGACGTCTGCTATTCAGTCGGTCGAGCTTCCCACTGGCACCTGCTTTTCTACTCTCATCCTTAACCCCTCCTCCACCACCTTCTCCGATCTCGTTGAGGAACAAGCACGACACGATCGGCTTGTTGGATTAGGCTCACCATGATCTCTTCTGCTTGTGCCAGAACCGCACGGTTCCAACTCAAGTTTATCGCCGTCTCCCTCGGCGCATCGACGGTTAAGTTCTGAGCCCTCCTTGATATTGGTGCCACCGACAACTTCATTACCGAAGCCTGTGTCCGCAAAGCCGGCCTCTCTTCCACCGGCTATGACTCCCTAATCACCATCCGACTAGGGGATAAGAGCTCAACCATCGTTGTCGATCACACTATCTCCGAAACCCTCAGGACTGCCGGTCCTCTTTGCAGTCAGGTCTCCTTCGATGTCATGCACCTCATGTGCGACATCGTCCTGGGGACTCCATTGCTTGACCGTTTCATGCCCTACTCCTTCCACCCCTCCATCCGACTCACCCGCCCTCCTGACTCTCCTCTTGATATACCTTACCTTCTCCCCCTTTCTACCCCACCCCCTGTCTCCCCTCACCAGTTCCTTCACATGTCTCGTGAACACCCCGACTCCGCTTACTATTGTCTTGTTATCGACCACGAGCGTCCCGAGGACTTGCTTCCAACGGACAGACCCGACCACAAGCCCCTCGAGAAAGTCTACGCCGCCATGACCCATATCCAACTCCTCCCATCACTCCATCACCGATACACCCACAAACCGATGGACAAACCGAGAAGATGAACGATACTCTCCAAAAGAATCCGACGGAAGTATTGTCATCCACATCAACACGACTGGGATCAGTTGCTCACCGCCGCCGAGATCGCCTACAACAGCGTTGTCTGTCCTTGCACTGACATGTCCCCATTCTACCTTGACCTTGGCTACCGTCCGGGCTTGCTCTCTGATTTCCTGCTTCCCTCGCAACTCAACCCCTCCACACCCTGCCCTTCCCTCAATGAATCGACTCCTCGGAGAAGCAACTGAAGCCCTCGAAAGAACATAAGAACAACAAGCAAACAAGATCAACAAACACAGATGAGACTTGCAATTCAAAGTAGGGGACAAAGTCTGGCTCTCCGCCAAACGCTTTGAACCCGAACATGGATTGTCAAAGAAAATCTCGAACAAATGGCTCGGACCCTTCCCCATCATGGAAAAAACCTCTGACGTCAGCTACAAACTCCAACTCCCCCCCGACATGAGCCGCGTCCACCCGGTCTTCCACGGTGAATACTTGAAAGAATATCATGAATCCCCACCCCAATCCGCTGACCGCCCATATCCTAGACCTCCACCTATCATGTTACCCACAGGCCCTGAATTCGTTGTTGAAGCAATCATAGGTCGACAAACTACTCAGGTATCTGACCACCTGAAACCAATCACTGAATACAAAGTCAAATGGACTGGATACCCGACGAAGAATCTACATGGGAACCTCTGTCGAATCTCAAGAATGCCATGAAACTTGTCCTCGCCTATGATCGTGTTACTCCTATGTCCTAGACACCCACGTAACTACAACCCTAAACCCCTGTATAAACCTTGCTACAACCTCGCAACCCCGTTCTACACACACCCTTGAACCCAGTCCACCCTCCCCTTGACCCCGATTCCTGATGTCCGATCTGCCCTTGCCCTCACCTAGCCTTCTCCCATTTGTCCTCTCCACTACCTGGTCTCTCTTGTCCAATGCTTATGAACCTGCGTGACACCGACAATAAAGGATCTAATGGCAAGCGCACGAGGACGATGGCCTGCTGCCTCACTGTTCATGGAGATTATGCAGCTGGTTTGGCCCCCATGCTGTTTCATTGGCCGGCATCCCGACTCGTGGACTTACTGAAGCAGCAACTTGTGACATGGATCTTTGCATCAGTCTGCGACTTCCTTGCTTCCAGATCAGATCTCATTGCAGTTCGTGTACCGGACGCACCCTAGCACTTGGACTTTGACACTACGACTACGCTTCTTGGACTTCTACCGGTTGAGCCGCCGTTTGGCTATCCCAAGAAAAAATGAAAAAATCGCCAAAGCTGGCGGTGTCAAAAGCATGCTCGCCCACTCACTAATTTTAATTCTCTTTTCATTTTTTCTCATTTTTTTTATTATTATGCAAGGAATATGAGTGTGAACGATATACCGAAAACCAATGTTGCGAAATCACACAGATGTCGAGGTAGTCGTATCCAAGCAGAGAGTACACAATGCACCGAGAAACCATCCATATAGAGCAATACAATGAAGT